TAAATTATCCTTTGTATTACAGCAACAAAATTGTTGTGATATTTTAATATAAGATTCATTAAAAAAGGAGCATACTTTTTATTTTCATACTATGTGTAGCGTAATTAAATGTGAATATAAGATTTAATTAATTTAATTAATTTCGAGAAATGAAAGGAGAGAAAAAAAGAGAAAAAAATGGCTTTTTCTATGTAATTAAAAAATAATATCAACATAAAGTAATACCAATTTTAAACAAATGTAATTAGATTAATATGTAGATTAATATGTATATATGTGTGATGTCCGTCTTTATATTTCTCCATGATAACTTTAATTTTCAAAATGCAATTCTGAAATCTGTGAGATATGATGACTAATTGCAGAAATTTTCGCAGAAAATTTTATGAAGCGTCTGAATAAGACTAGTGAGAATTCTCGGATGTAAAATTATAACTTTTGAGGCGGGAGATCCTGCGCGGATAATCGATCGAAAGTAGCTCGCAAATTGCTTTTCTCGGCGAGCTTCTTTCGACCATCTTTCGCGCATTTAATCGTAACGAATAATAGTCGCGCCTAATGTTCTCTAAAAGTTTTTAGAGAGTAATTTTAGAAGTAATTCGGTCATGAAATTGTCGAAACATAGGAACAACTAATACCGTCAATTTAATGTTCGTACAAATAAAAGAACCAATTATACAAAAATATGATAAACAGTATATACATAATATTTAAATAATTTACTCGAGAGATAGTTTACGCGTAGAAAATTTCGAAATTTCGCTGCTTGTAGAAAATGCGAAAAAATGTCTCGTCTACTATCAGAATAATTAACATTTTATTGCAAATTTACAAACAACGAAAAATAATATTTTCTTATTGATAATTATTTTATAAATCTTGTCTTATAAAAACAGGATATCCTCGTCTTTCCTCGCAGTATAGTATATGAAGAACTTTAAACATTTTGTCAGATTATACACAAGATAGCGGTTAAAATTAAAACTGAGGCAAACGTTTGAAATCGGTGCAGCCTTTGTCCTTTGACTATGAAAGTACTGAAATAGCTTTTCCAGCTTTCCCAGCTTTTCCGGGTACCTCAATTACGTTTGTAGAATATCGTTTTCAACATGATTATTTGCGAAAGATTATTTTTTAGTAACAAATACTAATACATTTATAAACATATCAATCACGTTTCCAATTGCGCCTTTTGATAATAATGTTTTAATTTTCTTTGTTAACTTATATGTTACGTCATTTCATAAATAATTGATTTTAGATTGAATCTATAATCAAAAGAATATTTAAATTTAAATCAACTTCTACGTCTTATAATGAATAGTATTAATGAATAGTGAAGAGTTTCATTCGCATTTAACATTATTATTCGCAGATAATTGTGAAATTTCCTTTTAATATAACATGTCACGTACGCAGAACGCATGTTGAGCGGCTTCAGGAAGAGACTTTTTTAATTATACTCATTAGTACAGCATAGCGACAGACACTGGTTCGCCTAACTACCTTTATTTTCACGAAATTACGGCACACACATACCAGATAGATATATATTCAAAATTACGAAAAGGCATATCTCTTTTGCCTGTCACAATCGTTTAATGGCATCTAATTGGCTCGAATCTTTTTCAAGCAAAGTTTTGCTTCAGTATAAAGCTTCGAATAAAAAACAGTATCCGAATAAAAAACTTCCATCAAAGAAAAGGATTATATTAAGGCTTGATAGACGACTATTTTATTGCAGAGATATATCCAAGAAACTGAAGTTTTCCTCTGTTTTTCCCTTTATAATGCTTCGTTCCAATTATCATATTACAATCCCGCGATCTGTGGGACAAAGGTAATATACTCAACTCAAAGTACAATTGATTCTGAGGATATCACGTATCGTCTAAATTATTTTCAGTTAGAGAACCTTGTATCTATGGAAAAATTGCATCCTGGGGCAGAACGCGCCGCTGTTATTATCACGAAAGTCCGAAACTTTTTTCCGATCTTCCTTCGTCTGTCTCCTACTTTCTCAAAGTATTCTTCCGTTCCATTTTATCTAATAACCCCTCTGTGTCCCCGCGGGACAGCTGCAGGCTGGATAGAAGATAATAAACTCGAAACAATACGGTGGACACCGTTCCAACACAACACGAACATGCTTTCAGCTTTAAAGCGCGATATCGCTGAGTCACCGTTATACCACGAGGAGAACTATTTCATAACTAGGTCGTACGTGATGCATATACATGCACGTGAACGTGTCGTGTCAGTGTGGCCACGGACTGATGTGAGACAAAGAGAGAAAGGAGACAATCCGGCAGACAAGAGGTTCTTTTCTCTCCTCATCTGTCGCTCTATCCGGAAAAGCTTTGCAGATTTTAGTTACACACATCGTGGTGTAACTAGTAGACACGTAAAGCGCGCCTTTGTCGGCACGACTGAGGTGATTATTCACGAAAAATAAAAAATTTACTGAACCTCTTTCCGACTCATTTGTTTTTAACTCCAGTAATATTCGAATCCTTCCTCTTTACTCTTATTGCAATCGCGATAACAAAAAAAATTGCACTTACAGTATGAAAAATGAAAAATACGCCTTTAATCGACTAAAATCAACATATCTAACACAAACTTAAATAAATTCTCAGTTAATACTTTCTTTAAATTCTTCCATAATTAATTAATCCCCGGTTGAACTGTGAAGATACAGTTAACATTTTGATTGTGAATTCTGATATTTTAATCTGTAAGAAATAGGTCAAAGTAAAATACAACACAAATATGCAAGAATTTTCTCAAATTTTTATATAGTTCGGAATACAATATAAAAATCTGTACTGAAGTTCAAAGACCCAGATTGCTGAGAAAGAGAGATAGAAAATGCAAAATTCCACATGGCTGACGGAGGGTTAAGTATTAACTGTCCTCAGTTCGTTTTACTGTGTATGCTCACGTAATAATCTACAGGAGTCTACATGAATAGACACAAATTAATCTTGTTATTGTAGACTAAAGTCGACTTTCACTTGAATACTAATAGTAAGTAACTCTCGTCGCCGTCTGTTAATGTACGTACTTGAAAGACTAATGCTTGCTAAGCTTCAGCTGTGTTCTAAGAACGACTGTTACAATAATCCGACAATGACTCGCTCATCTGTTAAACTCCATCTTGCATGGTAACATGTGTTAGCGTCTCGTATGCTATCTCATAGCATTTTCCAGTTCAAGACTGCCGTGATGAAAAGCCAGTTAACATTTGCTATTCACGATCTGAATCTCTAAGATAAATAACAATCAGAAAGTTGCTGAAATTAAATAGCTGTTACTTTAATGCGTAACGTGCATAAAATGAATTAAATATTATATTATAGAAATCCTGTCATTTTTATTAAAATATAAATAAATATAGTTACATAAACTTGTAAAAATAATTATAAAAAGGGATAAAAATTTATTTGACTGCTCAATAATATGTATATATTCTCGAAATGATAATTTGAGATTTCATAAATCGAGATACTTTTAAAAATTACTGAATACATTTTCTAACATTAGTGATTGTAACTGCATCTTTGAAGAATTTCAGATAAATTTCTTTCATGAAAATGACCGTCCATACCGAGATCTTTTGAATATATATTACTGATTGAAAGTCATGTAATCAACCAAAAAACTTCCATATTTATTATATTTATTTTTATAAGTTTACATATCAAGATATATATTCTTTTTTTACTACATTTTCAAAAACGAAAGTGACGTTTAATTCATTTCATTCCGCCCACATTTATAATAAAGTCACAACTATTAATTTTAGATATTTTCCGATTGACATTCCATACATCATCATCATTAGTTTGACACATCGAGGTTGATTTTTCAACGAACATTTAGACGAACGGGGAAAAGGCCTTGTGCTGCTCACAGACAATAACAACGTCGCATAAAAGCCGCGTGTAACAAACTCCGCAACTCGCCATAATACAGTCGCGGCTCACGGCTGGCAGATGAAGGGCGTTGATAAATACCATACAACAGTTCGTTGGTAGCTCCCTTTATGCGCGAATCGCACCACAAACGGAAGCTCCATTTGATTTTCCAACAGACATTATCGTGCGGCGCGCGTCGATCGGACTGTACTACTTTTTATAAATCTTTTTTATTATCCGCACAATACTGCTCTGAAATGCACGAGCACGCCTCATCCATCACTGTCTCATCGATAATATTTCCTAACGAGCGAGCGCTCCACGTTTTGGCTGCATCACGACACGTACTCGACAAAGTTTTCTTATGCTCTCGCAATATGCCGGGGCCGCATTACCGTAGCAAGATCGAAAAACGGAAGTGCAAGAACTTTTTGAATTTATAGTGGAGAAGCGACTGGAATCAAAGTAGGTCATGTTCCAGGATAGTCCGTGAGAAAGGAGAATAAACGAAACAATCTACTTGTGTACTCGACGTGTTATGACAATTGTATGTCGATAATTTCCGTCATACATTATACTGCGACGTGTTTTGCATTTATCAGCACTCTGCATATCAGCAACGTTTAGTCGTATATTTCAAGCTATCGAGAATGCGAGGGAGTTGCATCAGATTTCTTTCTTCCGAAACGATTTCTCTTATTATCGCGCGTTGGTGTTTTAGCGATAAGAACAATAGAAGTCACGCACCGTCTGCTATTTTCCGTACAATTCCTGTAAAAGTTTCATGTCTTTGCTTCCATTCCCTATGGAGTACGGAACTTTTCCAAGAAACTTACGTTCGAGCAGTTAAGAGACTTTCGAAAAGCGCGTATTAACAAAAAATGAGCATAATGCACACAGTATGCGGTTGATAGTTTGAAGTAAAAGGATTAAAATCCTTTGTCTCAAACAACACAAAATTATATTCTACAAAATTTAATGATTTTCCGATATTAAAGTATAAGTAATAACGTACGTTATTTAACTGAAAAATATGGCCCGATAAAAGTAACTGATAAAGAGACATGAAAAACACTCTACCTTCTTTTGCTTGAACGTATCCGTGCACTTCGCAGTAACTTCCGGCCGGGCCAGCCGCTCCAGGAGTGTCCAACGTGAAGAGGGTATTGGCGGAAGAGCTGACACCGTCATCGGACATCGTCTGCAACAAGCTGGTAGCCTGCGACAGAGTGCGTTGCTGCTGGTGATGCTGGTGGTGATGATGATGATGCTGCTGCTGTTGCTGCTGCAACTGCATCTGCTGCTGATGCTGTTGTTGCTGCTGTGCGAGCATCTCTTCGTGCCGACATTTCGAGCAACGACGCATCTCAGAGCGGACGCGCAGCAGCCAAACCATGCCGAAAAGCGCCATAGCAACCTCGAGACCCGCTGACCTCGATGGGTGCTTCATGCTCGCGGGGTCAAGGTCATCGAGGCTCCGGGAGCCAGCGCGACACATATCACCGACTTCGGTGCGGATTTGTCCAGCTCTCTTTCTTTCTTTCTGCACCTTCTTCCCTCCCCTCTCTTTAACGCGCGCTCCTAATTTTATAGGATTGCGATTGTAATTAAACAAACATGGAATAATGAATGCCGATGTTTTTCTTAAATTGCATCATCGACGTTACTCTTATGTTTCTCTTTCAATCTTGTGATATACAGAATTATTAGGCTCTCATTGGCAGTGGATCGTTATTCTCGAGAAACGATTACTTAAATTAGAATTGAATCAGAATCTCATTTAATTTCATAGTCTGTTGAATACTAACCATTATCGCTTATTGGACTTCACTGTTTCTCAAGAGGTTAGTGTTCACATTGGCAGCTTCCGATATTTGTTACGTAGTATCCTCCTTCCTAACCTGATTTCAAAGTTCTTCGCGATGTCGACGTTGCTACAGAGAGAAGTAATTTCACTTCGTTCGTTACGAAATAGTCGGAATCAATGGACGATCTCGTTCACATCTCGTTGGCTTTATTTTTCGACGATTTCATCCGGTAGGAATTAAGATCCCCTGTTCTGCAAATGTCTCGCCAGCGGTAGAGACAGCTTGACGCTTCATATTTTTCGTAAATTTATTTTGATAAGCATGTCCCGCAATTTCGGATATTCAATAAGCCGTGCGCGGCCAAATTACCGATTCTTCTTTCTCCTACCGTTCTCAAACTCATAAAGCTCGACTTATGGATGACCAAAAAATGAGCACATGATGGGCAAGGCACCGTTCTTTACGAAGACTGATCGTTAAGTGTCTGAGCGATGGATTTGATATCGATAGATCAGAATTTTATGCTTTATGAAGAAACTATCTCTTACGTCATTTTATAAATTCTTCCAAATTTTTCGAGATTTAGAATCATTCAGTAATTTTAAAGATCTGCAAACAAGCCTAGTTTCTTCTGTTTAATCAATTCTTTTGTAAATTGAAATATTAACAACCCATGCTGAATATAGGCGTTTCCATCTACTGGCGGTTTGTTTTATTCGTTCTTTATAGACGCTTATTAATTAGACAGTAGTTATCAGAAGGAAAATAGCTGGTAATCTTTTGATTAACAATCCGCTTTTCTTTCCAGCGGAGCGAGAATGAATTCTTCGAGCTTGAGGGTTCGTGTAAATATTAGAGCGAATCAACCACCAGTTCTTTCGCGTATCAACGAAAAGAATAAAGATAATCGATACTGTCTTAATACGGAAGGAAGCTAAGCGATTGGTCCCGGGCGCACTTCAACGATGATGATACTTTTATAAAAGTACAAAAGACGTCCATCTCCGAATGGTCGAGAACGTAGATCCTCCCATATTTTTCTCAGGAACTATTTCGTAATTACTGCCCGCTTCCAGATCGTGACTATGCCTTGCTCTTCCGCTTTTCACTGATCAAGTTCTGTCCCTATATATCGTCTCTGGCGATTTCTGTCATCCCCATTTCTTCTTCCATTAGACTCTTCGTGGTCCATCGAACTACGTAATATTGACGTTCCTACTTTCTCTCTTTCTCTTTTTCTCTCTTGATAACGCTGTACTGGAAATGCGATTCCGTCCCATCGGGACGTGTACTTTCGATCGCGTGGTTGTCTCACCCCTCACGCATGAGTGAATTTCGCTCGATGTTCGTCCCCGATTGACGGGAAAGCGGGATAGATGCGGGGATGGAAAAGCGTTCGATATAACGGTCAACTTACTTCTTCTTCGTACCTTCTTTCTATGCGGTTATGAGATATCTGAGAGAGCAAACGATAGCTTTTCGGCCATACGTAATTCTTCCTTTAAAATCCCGAAAAAAGATAGCTTGACAATCGTGGTGACAGCGGGAAATTGGACACACTCGGGCAAATGGATCCTGCTCTTGCGATTGGAGGATTTAGCTAAAACGGAACCCTCATGTGAAGTGGACTGCTTGGATTCAAACAGCAGCTCGTTATCAATTCCTGTCGAGTCCGAGTCTGACTGAATGGGTTCACTTCTGTCAAACTGTCGATGTACGTTCGCAAAAGCTCCGACGGCCCGTATTTCAGCGATGATTCGACTTTAATGACGAAGGGTAATATTAATTTCGTCAATTTATTCACGACTTTATTTTACGATTACCTCGCAAGTTAATCACGCAAACCTCAAGATAAAAGATTTTTCTTTAAATACGTTTCCAAATCCTATCTCCGCCTCTATTAATCTTTAATTTATCTATCTCTATAACTTACTCAGAATCCTCTCGAATAGAATCGATTAGTATCATCCGCATGTCGCTTCGTGCTTTTTCAAATAAATGATATTTGCCACTGAATATCACATCAAAATCGATTTTTTTCAACAAAGAATTTCTTTAGACGAGAATCTGCAAGTACTCCTCTTCCTGGAAAAGCGACTGCTTCACTCGGTACGCATGAACGGATGAAGCGTTATTCCGAGAATGCAGCAGTCCGGATTGATATCCGGCGATAACGTGGCTTTCCGGACGTGAAAAGGAGTTTCAAGAGGTTTGCGGGTGAAAACCATTGGTGAAGAAGGCTCGATAAGTGACCGGTTTCTTTTTCTTCGGGTCGTCGGTTCGGCCGCGATACTTTCCTTTTGGAAAGCTCTGCAGCCTTAGATTTCCGGTCGATACTTCTCCAGTCTACCCTAGAAAAGTCGTGGAAGAAACCTTCGAGCGTTACCGATGCGAGAGAAGCGCGGTCGATTTCGTTCGCGAACTCGATGCTCGCTCGAGGAGAATTTTTCAATGAGCTGCACTTTTGCAACGGCGGTTCTCTGAATAGCAGACTAATCGATCCTTCTGTGCATTGATTGATAATCTACAATACCGTGTTTTTCACTTACAATCACGAAATTGCTGGTCGTCATCGGTAGAAAAATTTCATCAATTATATAATATTAATGATTGTATAAAACGTTTCTTGTTCACGTTTGTTTCGCTAAAATTCAAATCTTATTCAGATAATAATACTTTTACTTTTTAAATTTATGAGCAAACATGAAGTAAGAATATTAATGATTCATTAATAACGCAGAAGAAATAAATAAGCTTCAGTTGAATAAAATCTGTAATCTCCATCGATCACGACAATAACCTATTTCATTGAACATTGACAGTGTAACAGTAGAATAAAATGGTCCATCTCTGGAACGGGCGATCGTAAATACAGATCGCGTCTAATAAAACAGGGATGCCAGCTAAGTTGCAGAAATCGACTTCGTTATAAAAGAAAAAAAAAGAGACAGGAAAAAAAAGAAAAAGAGAGAAGAAGACCGAGAGAGTGTTTCCCACGAAATGGCTATAAATTACGACTGGGAACGCGGTACAAAAGAGACGACAACGACAGCAATGACGGGGTTGTGCGCCGAGCCGAGTGTTCGAAGGGGTGAAAACACTTGTGCTCTTCGAGTACTGACGCTGCTGGCAACTGTTCTTCGTTAAATCGAAGTAGAAGAGCAGAGAGAGAGAGAGAGAGAGAGAGAGAGAGAAAGAAACTTTCCATCTTGCAAGACGGTGCTCGGGTAATTAAAAACTTGTGTAAATTCCATTTCATACGCCACCATTCATCCGCGACGCGTTAATCCATTTCACCGTGTTATATCGCTACCAGAGAGGGCGAAAGCAAAAACACGGTAAATCGAAGCATCTAGAACCGCTGCCGCACGCTCGCCGATTTTACATGGAGATTTACTAGGTCTGCGTTACTCGCGTTACCACCCACGACGAGTTGAATAGCTCAATAACTGTCGGGTTTTCCCTTTAGTGTCGGTGCTCGCGGTGATTAAAAACGACGCTTGCCATGGCTCCGCGAACGAAGTGTATTGCGATGAGCCATATATTGAAGTGCCTCTATGCTATCATCAAATAAAGCGCGTCACATAAAGCAAACGCACAGCGCGATACGTACATTTTTACACGGTACATTTAATATATTTTAATCTTCGTGCAACGCGTGTATATGCATTCGTGTATTGTTACGAACAAAATTTCTTGTTTTCGTTTAAATCTCTCTTATTTATTTAGTTCTATTCATATTTCTATTCATATTTCTATTCATCTTTTCTGACATTTTAACGGCCCTTAACGTATTATACAAGTATAATATATTATAAAAAAAAAAAGATATGATGACAAAATTATAAAAGTAAAAACTGTTCAAGTTTTATATGTGGAATTAATGTACACAGTTAAATAAACTATTTTGTAATTATTGCAATCGTACACAGAAAAAAAAGATTAGTTGCACAGCTAAAAATTAGATTTGGCAGTTAATTCAGTAGCATTATATGGATATCTAACGTTGTGTTTGCGAGACCTAATCTCCATTAGCTGTAAGGCCTAAATATTATCATTATAACAGACAAGCATTTTGCTATTACGTCGATGTGATCATTGCAGCAAACGTTTTCTGTATAACAGACAATTTGGTAGCAAGTACAGTTTCAGCAAACTATATTTAGCTGTGGTAGAGACAATTTTCTTTTACACGGATATATCCAATAACTGACAACTAACTCCATGTTGCTAAATAAATTGATCCGTAACAGACATGCATACTTTGCTATCACGTCCTTATATTAGTTACAGCAGCAAATCCCCTGTATGTATTAACAAATTTCATAGCTATAGTAGCTAATGCAATTTCAGCTAATCAGAACTAACTTAGCCAGAAACATTTCTTTTCCCTGTAAAATAATTTCTTCAATTGTGTATATTAATTCATTGAACTGTGTACACTAATTCTACATATAAAAATTATAATTGTCAACTTTATAGTTGCTATGTTGCTGCACTATGTTTTTTTCTGAGTGTACATATTGGAGTATATGTGAAGGTATGGTATGTCGTTGAGCTTTCAAACATACCGAATAAACGACAAATGTGGATGAACAAATTTCCATGGGAGGAACTCATTTTGGCAGGTTATCCTTCCGCGCGTACCTGATATATCGATTTAACGGGGAGCCGATAAACCGCGGACGAATGCGATTATGTCGGAAATAATGCAGCAGGCGGCTCTCGATACATGACCATCAGGCGGCCTCGGACCCGGCTGGTGCAATAACGCACTCACGAGGGCTCGTTGAAAATGAGTGGGAAAAAAAGGCCGGTCGATTGAACGAGAGAGGCTTGATACATTGCGCTCGCGCGATGATTACGCAGGCCGATCGTATTTCTTCGCGGCAAAATGTCCGAGCGTAATTTCGCAGGCGCGTAAATCATCGAAATTGAAATTGATGAATCATTAGCTCCCCCGTCCCAAGCTTTCGAATGGCGCCGCGGCTGCCGAGCGTTTAATCGACGCGGTCGTAAAAATTAATTTTGCACTGCGACGCGAATTATTGTTTACGGATCGCCGGCAACCAACAATGGTGAGATTAATATTTGTTTCTATTTGCTGCGCGCAGATATTATTTAGTTATTAGCTATCGTAATCAGATCAGAGAGATCGGATGTAATTTATTATTATATGCAATAATAAATAAGACTGCATATGTGGAGACATATCATTATCGCGTTGATGTTTGCTAATTAATGTAATATTACTGTATATATATGTATTATTATTGTTATTATTATTATTATTATTATTATTTAACAAAATAAGCATGTTAGTTTTTATTATATATTTAGTTAGTATTTATTATATATTAATTCCTGTCTTAAATAGATGATGGACAAAAATTATTTTTATCTTGGTTTATTTTGAGAACTGTATTATTATGCTTTCAAATTCAAACTGAGGTAAAACCAAAAATGGGATAACCTAATGAAGGTAAGGGGAAGGATGGAATATATTTTAAAAGTTTCACTGGAAGACCCT